CGTGATTATCGGCATGTTTTTGGCTCTCATTGTATCCAAGGGTGTAGTGGGCCCACGGCTACTCCGTAACTACATGTTATATGGAAGAAGTGAGAGAGTAATGGGTTTTCTGTGAAAGGCGGTGCTGCTTCTGGAAACAGGGCATACACACGTTCATTCTCATGGAGCAGCGCCGTATCAAACGGAATCGTGTGAATTGAAGGGCACCTGGACTTCTCTTGGAAAATGCTCCAGACTTCCATGGTGTTCCTTCCAGAGAATTTATTTTTGTGTTCTCTGTACCTGAAATCAAATGCGTGCCTAAGCAAAAGTGTCCCCTGGCTCCCACCACCCTATCCTCCCCACAAAATGGTGGACATCAGGGGCAGGTAAGGGAACAGAAGAGGTCTCTTTGCAGGTATTACAATATTTTTTAAAAGGTCCTATGTAATAAGCAGCAGCTAAGGAGACAGAAAGACAGTCGATGAGGAGAGTGCCGGTGTCTCCCACAGGGAAGAATGAATGCACAAGGAGAATGCTGTTTTCTGGAGTACAGAAAGCGTCCTCTCACAGACCAACTGGAATCACAAGCTGGGTTATGAACTTCTTCCAGCTCCCATTGGCAGTGCTTCTTACCAGGCACAGGGAAGGGCTGCTTTTTCCAAAAGGGGAAAAAAAACTTTTAGACAAAGCTTGTACCAAGCTCTGAACTGTAGAATTTCTCAAGTGACCGAACATACATATATTCCTAACTTAAATGATTATTTAAATCAAATGCTTATTGTGAAATTAATATTACATTACATCAAATAAGGTTTACTTGTAGAAGAAAGAAAGGAAGGAAGGAAGGAAGGAAGGAAAGAAGGGAGGGAGGGAGGAAGAAAGGAAGAAAGGAAGGAAGGTAGGGAGAGAAAGGAAAGGGCTCCACAGGAGCTGGGAGGATCGGGAGATCTACTGGGGTTTACCACTGGGGAACGTGAGGCCGAGGGTCCAGTCCACTGTGGGCAGTGACAGGTGTGGATGTGGTGTCTTCCGGGAAGGGGCCTGCTGACGACAAGCTTCCTCCAGCCCTGGACACAGGGGGAAACAAAGTCACTGACCCTCAGTCCACAGAAGGCAGTTTTGATCTTGAAGAAGAGGGCTAGAGCATGGGCAAGATTTTCTCATCCAATCTTCTCAAATTAGGTTTTGGGGGTCTGATGGGAGTCAGGGACTTGGCATGTGGTCCCACACCAGCCTTGAGCAAGTTGATTTCCTCCGCCAGGCTCATCTCTGTCTCTCCAGTGCCTGGGGCAGGACTGAGCCCCAGCAGGTGCCCAAGAGATGCTGGGGGACAATGCAGACCCAGAAAAGGCAATGTCTGCACCCACGAGAAAAAGCAGAGGAAACACAGAAAACCCTACCAGCCACATTCTCTTACGACCGTGCTCCTCACTTTTGTGCACAGGGCGGTGGAATCCATTTTTTTTCCCCACTGGGAATCGAAAGAAATGGATTCGCGCTTTCATTGCTCTTAAGAAAGCTCGACGTGTTCTTTGTTTTTATGGTGCCGGGGAGCAAAATGTACTTGACTTTTCAAACCTGAGCGCAGGGTCGGGGTAGAGGGGCTGTGTTCTGTGTGTATTTCACAATTAAACCCAAATAGATATAGTTTATTCAGACATAATCAAGGCTGGCCAGTTTTAATCCAAAAAACAGTGGGACGGAGTCCTCGGTGGGCGGGGTTTCCTCTGTGGGCCCCGATTTATGCCGGGGAAACCAGATCAGACTCAGATAACGTCCCTGGGAGGGTCCCCAAGGTCTTCCTTCATGCGCTGGTCAAACCTGTGCCAGACCCTGGGCTAGATTTGACGGATCCAGAAATGGGCATGACAGGGTGCTTGCCCTAGAGGAACTCGCTGCAGTGGGGGTGCCCCCCGCGGGGGGAGCTTCTCTCCCAGCTCTGGATTTGGGCTTTCCAGGCAGCTCCTCTTGTAGTTCACAGGTGAGAGGTGACAGGACCTGCTGGTCTTCCTAGATGTGAAATTGTTCTCCTTACACATCTGGTGGATGGCACAGGTGGGATTTGAATCCAGGCCTCCTTGGGCCTGGGGGCCCACGTGGACGTCCTGCTCCTGTCCTTGCGTCTGGCTCCTGGCTGCCCTTCCCGCCTGGCTTTGTACCTGGCAGGTATGAGTAGGAGCAGCCAAGCAAGAGGAATGAGCTGGTGAATTACGGAGCTGCTGCTGGGTCAGCCTGAACCCCGGGGAATTAGAATACCAGTACTTTATGATTCCTGAGGAACGGATCAGAGGGCTCAGGACTTCTCCAGGGAGGCGAATGCAGAAATGGAGTCACTACCTGCAGAAACAGGGGCTGGTGGAATCTTCTCATAAAACCGGACATTTCTAATTATTGCCTTTGTTAAGAAGTGAGGAATAGCTGGTGGGGCGAGGCCCGCTCGCAGCATGAGTCTGCTCTTGGTGCTGTATTTAACCAGTCCTTTCTGACTCAAGTTCTTTTGCATGAATTCCCATGTGTTTTCTTAGCCAGCTCAGTTATTAGCATTTTAATCTTAAAAAATACCATTGATAGGGTCGGGGGTGGTGGCTCATGCCTGTAATCCCAGCACTTTGGGAGGCCGAGGCGGTTGGATAGAGGTAGAGATAGAGACCATCCTGGCCAACATGGTGAAACCCTATCTCTAATAAAAATGCAAAAATTAGCCGGGTGTAACGGCAAGCGCCTATAGTCCCAACTGCTCAGGAGAGTGAGGCAGGAGAGTTGCTTGAACCTGGGAGGCAGAGGTTGAGGTGAGCTGGGATCATGCCACTGCACTCTGGCCTGGCAACAGAGCAGGACTCCGTCTCAAAAAAAAAAAAAACAAACATCATTGATTGAGGGTCCACTGTGTGCCATGGGCTTTCTCTGTATCTCTAGTGATTCTCACAATGCTTTGATTGTGAGTTTTTGAAACTGTGGTATTGTAAACATTAGATTTGCCATTTTAACCATTTTTAAGTGCCCAGTTCGGTGCTAATAAGCACATTGAGATTGTTATGTAACCACACCACCATCCGTCTTCAGAGCCTTTCCGTCATCCCCAACAGAACTCTGGCCCCATTCAACACTAACTTCCCATTTCCTCTCTCCTCTCTGCCCGCCCGCCAGTCCCCTTCTGTCTCTGTGAATGTCACGATTCCGGGTTCCTCCTGGGAGTGGAATCACACAGTGCTTGTCCTTTTCTTCTGGCTCATTTCACTTAGCAGTGTCTTCAAGCTCCATCCATGTTGTAGCACATGTTAGAATCTCCTTCCTTCTTAAGGCTGAGTAATATTCTGTCGTGTGGGGAGACCACATTTTGTCCATCCATCCATCCATCCATCCATCCATCGGTGGACGTTTGTGCTGCGATTGTGAATCGCAGCTGAGACCGTGGTGGGCAATCATCTGTCTGAATCCTTGCTCTCAGTTCTTTTGGGTTTATACCCGGAAGCGGAGTTGCTGCATCAAAGGGTAATCCTCTATTAAGTTTTCTGAGGAATTGCTGACCCGTTTTCCATAGTGTCTGCACCGTTTTACGTCCTCACTGACAGTGCACAAAGGTTCTAATTTCTCCGCATCCTTAATCTGAATGTTGGGTAATGTTAGTGCTTTTTGGACTGTTGACAGCCAAAGAACCCGCTTCTCAGGGATGTGACAACACCTGGTCCAGGTTAGGTGGGTAATAAACCTGAAGGTGATTTCAGTCCAGCCTCAGCCGGCCCAGGGGTGGTGCCTACAGTCACCGGTGGACTGACCGGGGCTACCACCTTCAGTATATTTTACTGGAGGGTCTCAAATTCGGTTCTCTTAGAAATGGTTCCCCACGACACGGTTCTTAGTTCTCACTTCTGTCTCTCAGAACAGCTTCTTTTTATTTTTATTTTATAACAAAGTCAGCTAAACATTTAGCTACCTGATAGTTTGGGGAAGAAACTTCTACAAATGGATAATTTTCATTGTTCTTTCTGTTGTATCTTCAGGGTGTGATTTTCGTGTGACTAAGCAGAGGGAGCCCGCATTTGGAATCAGAGCCCCCAGGAGGGAGGTAGAGCTCACTCCATGTTCTGTGCATGCCGTGGCGCTCTCTGAGCTTTGTGCGGTCTCCTCACCTGATGGGAATCATCACACTGGTTTTGCTTCCTTGGCTGGGTTGGGAGGGACTGGGGACAGGGGATCTCAAGTGAGTGGCTTTGGGTCCTTTGTATATTGGGGATGGTAATTGTCATGATTTTTATTAGTGGTTGTGTTTTCTCTCTATTGTCCTGTATTAGCATTCCCGGGCTGCCATAGCAAATGGGCACAGACTGGGTGGCTTAAGACAATAAGAAATTGATTCCCTGGTCGGGTGCAGTGGCTCATGCGAGTAATCTCAGAACTTTGGGAGGCTGAGGTGGGTGGATCTCTTGAGCCCAGGAGTTCAAGACCAGCCTGGGCAACACAGGGAAACCCAGTCTCTAAAAAAATTAGCCAAGCAGGGTAGCATACACCTGTAATCCCAGCTACTGGGGAGGCTGAGGCAGGAGGATCCCTTGAGCCTGGGGAGGTCTTCTTGGTGAACTGTCTGGGATGGGCTCAGGCTCTTCCAGGGCATTCCCCAAATGTCTCCTGTGTTGAACCTGGAGCTGGTTTTTGACAAGATGGACACATGTTCATTTTTTCTCAGGAGTGTGGTGATTCTGAAATGTCTGGCCCTTTGGCCAGAGCTCAGATTTCCATGTTTATGGAAGGCAGTGTGGTCACATGTGGCCCCCAGCCCTGCCCCCACGCTGAGTCAGAACACAACTATTAACAATGGGGCGGGGAGCATGATTTAAAAAAAATCTGCAATGATTATTATGAGAATTAACAGAGTTGAATAGGAGCTAAAAATAACTGGACACACACTTGCCTATAATCCATTTTTTAAAAGAAAATATAATTATTTTTGTAAACTGGCTCTGAGAAGCCAGGAGTATTTTTAATCTACATCTTCTTTTTTTTATTTTTTTTGAAACGGAGGCTCACGCTGCTGCCCAGGCTGGAGTGCAATGGTGTGATCTCAGCTCACACTGCAGCCTCTGCCTCCCGGGTTCAAGTGATTCTTCTTAGTCTACATTTTAAGACATGGTGCATGTTTTCAAAGAGAGCAGCTCGGAGCCCTCTGGCATGTCATGATGTCACCAAGTCAGAGTCCACCTGGGGCCTGTGGGGATGGGTGGTGGCAGGAGGCGGGGTCAGAGGTTAAGGAGCCCAGTTCTGAGTACCATTTTCCTGAGCATGTATTTGATGAGAGGTGTTCCACGAGCCTGCCGTGGCTTCTGTGGGTGCTGGAGCCTGGGATGTCCTGGATACCCCCGGTCTGGAAGCTGGTAGCATCGAGAGAACAGCAGCTGGTTCAGCTCAGAAGCCAAGGGGTGGGGGTTCCCCCTGGGTGAGGTGGACCTGACGGGGTCTGAGCAGACCTGCGAGAAATACCCAAGACTTGAGGGAAAACATTCCATGGCTTTTTCATTTGGAGCCAAACATTGCCTCATGTAATTTTCTCCCTGCTTTTTCCCATTGCCTCTGCCAGGGTCCTTGGGCCTGGCACAGACGCTGTAATAAAAGACCCTGTGTGTGTGTGTGTCTGTATGTGTGTACGTGTGAGGGTGTATATGTGCATATGTGTGCATGTATGTGTGTTCGCATGTGTATATGTCAGTGTAGGTATTTGTGAGTGTGTGTATGTGGGTATTTGTGCATGTCAGCATATGTGTATGTGTGGGTGTGCATGTGTGTACATGTCTGAATGTATATATGTGCATGCATATGTGTGAACCTGAGTGTATCTATGCATATTTGTATATATGTGTGCACATACACACATGCATTTGTGTGTGCACATATGTGTATGTGTGTATGTATGTGGGTATTTGTGAATATGTCAGTGTGTGTGTGTGTGAGTAGGTGTGTGTACATGTCTGAGTGTATGTATGTGCATGCATGTGTGTACATGTGAGAGCATATGCACACACATGTGCATACATGTGCACACACGTATTTGTGCATGTGTGCATGCATGTAGATATTTGTATGTGCACATGTGAGTACACGTGTATATGTCTGAATGTATATGTGCATATGTGTGTATGTATGTGTGTGTGTATATATATTTGCTTGTGAGCATGTATGTATGTGCATTTGTGTGTGTTGAGTGTGTGTGTGTGGGGGTTCCAGGGAGAACTATCGGCACAGAACCAGCCCCTCCCAGCCCCCCATGCTCTGTGTTTATGGTGAGGGCACTTGTGATTATTTTTCTTCCCTGAACGTTCTGATTCTTCCTGGATTGTGGTGTGTGTCCATCCTAAGGCCTGCAGAGGCCTTTGAGGGCGTGCAGCTCTTTGGAGCTGAATTCACCTTCTCAGTACCTTCTAGGGGAGACTGACCCCCATCTGCAACCTTGGAGGGAGCCGCCAGTCCACAGTGCTGGGAAATGTGGCCAGTCCAGTGTGTGACCCACCAGGAGCGAGTGCAGGAAGAACAAGGGCTGTGGAGGTGGATAGCTGGGTTCAAATCCTGATTCAAATGTCTCTGAGCTGTGGCCTTGCGGGGGCCGCCCAGCCTTTGGGCACAACCGGTTCCCTACCTGTGGAATGAGAATAGCACCATCCTACCACGGAGAGTGGGCGGCTAGCAGTGAAAATGGGGCGCTGTGCTAAGCGTTCATCTCAGGCTTCGTCTTCAACATCCCTCACCCCAATTCTGTGAGGAAGGTACTTTTCACATCCCCATTTTACAGATGAGGAAATGGAGGCAGTCCGATTTCAGAACGCTTTACTGCTTTATTCTTCCTTAGAGCCGTTCCTTGTTACATTGTGCTGTCTTAAGCAGCAGTTGGCCTGGGAAAGGTGCTGCGTACTAGCAGGTATTAATGTTATATTTTTGTTGTTGTTGTAACTGTGGTTATTATTATCGCCATCACTATCACTGCCGCTTCCCTGGGTGGAGGCATTCCGGGGTCCCTGGGGTTCTCCTCTGTTCCCGGCACTGTCCTCTGTTTCTGGGGGCCACATTCCTCCTCTCGCCTCTCAGCCCCGACTCCCCGGCTTCTCTCCTCCATTTTGTGTTTGTGTGAATTTGAGTCTCTTTCTCCTCTAATTGAGATAATGAACAGTGGTTCCAGAATCTCTGCACTAAAAGTCAAGTGCAAAGTGATGGTTTTCATTTGTTCTCTCTCTTTCTCTCTCTCATAATATACATCTCTTTAAGAAGGGATCCGCTGAAAGCAAACAGCTAATAACCTGTGGATTTATGGAGGCAGCGCGAGCCGGCTTAATAAGCTTTTATACCTGGAATCAGTGTTCTGTCCCTTTAAGTTGAAACTCCAACGTGCCTTGGTATTTTACAGTGCCTGGTTTCATTTATGCTGGAGCCAGACTTACTATGTGAGAGCCGTCCGCATGCTGGAATTAGTCTTAAGCTTGCTTCTGTGGTGTTGCCAAATTCCATGTTTGTGTTTTATTTAGAATTCTTTTCACGGCCAGCCGATTCTGTGCCGGCACACATAGGCACTGTTGCGCCCCATGGAGAAAATAAGCAAGCTTGCGTTTTCTTTGGCAGGGGCCGCGGCCACAATAGACTGCGGTCTCTGAAACATTTTTTAAAAGCTATTTTAACCCATAACAGATGCATAAAGTCGGCTCAGGCATGCCAGTTTTCTTAGTTTTAATTAAAAAATAATTACAGTCTAATGGGATGTTAGTGACACATTTGGATGAATGGTGGGTGACATTATCTGCAACTTATAAATTAGTGCCTCTTCCTTGGCCGGAGCAGAGGTGGGGCAGAGCTGGGGAGGGAGAATGTGGATATCTGTTCTTAATTGCAGGGTGGGGGCTGGGGGAGGTGGGAGTCGTTCTGGGCAGGGAGGCAGCTAATGGAACTCTTGGTGAGAGGTCAGCAGCACTCAGAAGGGACATTCCGCTGTGGCTGTCCAGGTGACAGTGCCGTCAGGAGGAATGGTGGTGTGGGAGCCTTTCCCTACCCCCGTGTGCTTGATCAACTCACCTGTAGTGTTCTTCAGCTGAGAGACCGCTGTACCTGGGTGCCGCAGCCTCAAGCCACCACCTACTTTCTGGCCCCTGTGATCCCTCCCCTCCTTCAGCTAGAAGCACACTGACCTGCTGGGGCCATGGGAATAAGATGCTGCTGGGAAGGCAAAGAGGCAGAACAGCACTGTCCCATCAGGTCCTCATGCTCCCAAGAAGGCTGCATCCCTGTTGCTCATCCTAATTTTTTTCCTAATATTTAATTTTATTTTATGTTAAGTTTTGGGATTCATGTGCGGGTTGGTTACATAGGTAAACGTGTGCCATGGTGGTTTGCTGCACTTTTTTTTCCTTTAAGGTAGGGTCTCACCGTGTCACCCAGGCTGAAGTACAGTGGCAGGATCATAGCTCACAGCAGTCTCAAGCTTCTGGGCTCAAGTGATCCTCCCGTCTGAGCCTCCCACGTAAGCTGGGATTATGGGTGGGTACCACCATGAAAACCTTTTTCAAAAATTTTTTACAGAGACAGGGTCTTGCTATGTTTCCCAGACTGGTCTCAAACTCTTGGCCTCAAGTGATCCTTTCTCTCAGCCTCCTAAAACATTGGGATTACAGATATGAGCCACCATACCTGGCCACACCTGGGTTCAGATTTTATGTAGAAGTTGCCACTCATTGGAATCTGGAGTGGAGGACAGTAGGCTGGGCCGGCCCTGGGAGGCAGGGGCTCCACAGGAACTGAAGCTAGGAATAGGCGGGGCTGTGGACGGGGCGGTGGTGGAGGGGGGACGCTGACTGTGTCAGGAGGGAAGGGAGCTTCTCTGCTGTGTCACCAAGGGGGTCAGTAATGTCCTCTCCACTAATCAGGCAGCTGATAAGTGGCAACAGGTTGTTCCAACACTTGAGCCCAGGTTCTGCCTGCCCTTTGTGTGGTCCAAGGACCAGGTCTGGGGAGAAGGAGGAGTTAGTGCCCTGGGCCCAGCCTCTCGGGACCTGCTTTCTCTCCAGCTGGCCCTCCTGGGAGGAGGAGCACTGCAGGGTTGGGATGTGTCACCTTGAGCCTTCCAGCGTCAGGAGCAAGATGCTGGCCCCAGCAGTACCCTTCTGCCTGGGCGTGCTGGGCAGCTCCTCGGGGGCCCTTCCCAGGGGCCCCTGTGCCTGTTGCCAGGTGCTCTCCAAGCAGTACCCCAGAGAGGGGATGGGACGTGCCCCAGGAAACTGTGCTGAGCTAGGACACATGTGGCTGACGTTGGACTCTACCTTCCCCTAGATCCTTGTGCTCTGTGCAAGCTCACAGACTCTGCAGCCTGTGGGAGCGTGGGAGACAGGCACAGGCTAGGGTTCTTCACGTGTACTTTCGGGCTGGTGGGACTTTGCGTTGCCTGTGGAGTAAAAAGAGTGTTTCTTAGACAATATTTCCCTGAGCCCAGATTTCTCAGAAGTGAAAATTAAGTTCTTCTATTAAAAAGGTGAGTCACATCAGCCCAGATGAGAGTCATTTCGGCGTTCCTCGGATTTTTGGAGGGGAAATGTTGCATTCCTCTGAATCCGTTCAATTACACCTCATTGCTGAATAACGCGCTGGGCATTCTGGGTGGCACCCTCTGCTGTCTGATTAGTTGAGGCTGTGTCTGCCGCACTTGAGAGGGAGCAGCTCGCACACCCAGGTTGGCCGAGTCTCCAGGGCTCCCTTTTTCATCCCAGGGGCTCATTGGGAGCCTTGACATGGTCTCAGCATCTGATTCTTGCAAATGATTCCTGCCGAGATGAAAAGGTTCCCTGTCTGTCTGCTCATTTGAGGTTTTTGGTTTTTTGTTTTTTTTTTTTTTTTGAGATGGAGTCCTCTCAGCTCTGTTGCCCAGGCTGGAGTGCAGTGCAACCTCCACCTCCCAGGTTCAAGCTATTCTCCTGCCTCAGCCTCCCGAGTAGCTGGGATTACAGGTGTGCACCACCACATTTGGCTAATTTTTGTATTTTTAGTAGAGACAGGGTTTCACTGTGTGAGCCAGGATGGTCTCGATCTCCTGATCTCGTGATCTGCCCGCCTCGGCCTCCCAAAGTGCTGGGATTACAGGCGTAAGCCACTGTACCGTGCTTCATGTGCGTGTTAGGCAGATGGCACCGGGTCTAGAGGTGTCCTGCTCTCCCTGGAGGGCGTCCTGCTTAGGTGAAGGTGGAGACTGGCTTGGTTTTGTCCTCTCAGTGATGTTATTTTATCCTCCCAAAAGCCACCAATGACTAAGACTGGAACCAAAGCAGGAGGTGTCACTGGGTTTGGGGACAGACCCAGAGACTTCTCTAGACTAGAGACAGCACATCCCGTGTTGGGGAAAGGGAGCCAAGTAGGCAGAGGAGACTGGAGAGCATCGTGGCTCTTGGACCAGCCCTCTGCAGTGCAGTCTTTCATATGTCTTGCCCTGGGCTCCGTCAGGGCCTGGGTCACAGGCAAGTGGACACTTGCTTCCAGATAAAGCTCCCGGGGTGGGGCGTGGAGGGGTTGTTCTCTGGGAACTCTCTGCTGAGCTTGGGGCCTAGGTTGGTATCACCTGTGCCCCCCCAACCCCGATGGGCCCCTGTACTTCCCCATGGAGACACTTATCATGGGGCGGGTCTCCTTTCCTGTCTCCCTGGCCATCTTGGGACACCAGGATGTGGGCTAGCCTGGGCCCTGTTTGTCCCCACCTGGCCCCCATGAGGCTGTCTGTGAGCGCTTGTGAATGAAGTGAAATCAAGTGAAATGAAGCTGACTGAGCAGAGTCCCCACGTGGCCAGAGACCCAGGCAGGTGCATTCAGAGCCTCAGTTTCCTGCAGTGTCGGCTGCCCACTCAGGCCCAGGGGAGCCTGCAGGTTTGCATACTTGGACACCATGGGGCTCGAGCTGCACGCGCTACAGCTGTCAGACCGATCTGGAGGCTGCCTGTCTGGCTTTGGGTGCACCAATTGATTTTTGGAAATTTTGGGGGGCATCCATTTTGCTTTTGCATCTTTATTCAGCAAGAGGCTCCAGCCCCAGTGCTCAGGTGGATCCCTGGGTGGAAGGAGCAGTTTCTTGGGTTGATGGCAGCTCTTGGAAAGAAAGATGAAGTGTAGGGAGGATGAGAATGAGTGGAAGTCGGTGGCTAGGATGGGAGAAGCTTTGGGCTTGGAATAAGATCCAACATGTGGTTTCTGAGTTTGGAACCAGCTCCTCTGCTGGGATGTGTGTCAGGGAGTGGGGATGGGTGGGGGTTCAAGTTCATTTACTTGTATTTAGTTGACGTTTCCTCTTTTTATAAGTAAGAAGCAAAAGCCCATGTAGATGATGGGAAACACAGGCTGGAAAAGCAGAGTTTGTTTACTCATTAAATTTTCCATAAAATGAACAACAGTTTAGCACTAAGGAGCCAGCTGTGGGGGGTACTCCAGAGGGCAGGGCGGAGTTTGGCGTGAACCTCTGGGTGGGAAATGCAGCAGCAGGTCAGAGTCATGCATTCGTGTGAAAGAGGTCAGGTGCAGACACAAGGGCGATGGACTCCAGGGACCGGGTGGAGAGGGGTGTGCGTGCATGTGTGTGTGCACGTGTGTTTTTGCATGAGTGCGTTGTGTACATGTGAATGAATGTGCACATATATATGCATGCATGCATTTATGTCTGTGCACACGAGTGCACGCGTGTGAATGTGCATGTGTGTGTCCATGTGTGCATGAGTGGGGATCGCTACACTGTACCCTGAGACCAGGCTCTGTGTCCAGCTGCCGTGAGGAGGAGGACAGAGCAGCAAAAGACACAGGCCAGGAGGGAGTGAGGGGCCCTGACAATACCCGAGTACATGACTCTGCTCTGGGTCCAGAGGCTGTCCAGCTGCAGGCTCTCATGGGAACCCCTTTACTCCCCTG